ATTAGTCTAAACTATCTAGAAGCATCTAAATTCTTAATGGGCAAAATGTTATCTAAATTATAAAGCCTCTATCTAATGTTCACTATTTCTGAAATACCTGAGCTACTACAGAAATCTGGGGTACATCTTGATCTACAGTAACTTATAATATGTTCAACATAAATAAAGAGAGACAAAAATGTTTTAAACAATGCATATGAGAAATTAGATAAAGACAGAAGCAAGGAAGGAAACAGACATAAAGGGTCTAGCTGAGGAGTGAGGGGGGGGGCTGTGCCATTACATCACTGCTGCAGTGGCTGACTTTATCCCTGCCTGTCCCTCTCTTTTTATGTCCTCAGACACCATTCAGAAGGTGTAGAAATTCTCCTTACCAGTGCTCTTCAAGGAATTTCATTTAATTTCTAATCATATATATATATATATATATATATAGTCATATGCATGTAGTATGTATGAATATAGAGCCATGGGGAGACAAAGAGCAATACGCTATCCAAACTAACCTGGCCCTCTTTAAAAAACGAATTGCCATCTACAGTAATACCTGGTTGTCATTGCTTTAGAAGTGTAATTGATATAAAGTGTTTAAAATACTATATCTGATAGTAAATCTTGACATCACCATGGAAAAATGTTGGCACACCACCCTGTGCCAAAAAGTTTCACTTACTATAGTTACTCTAGTATGAATGACAGGCAGTGGGTGCTGGCCAATAGAGGCGCACTAGGACGCCCCAAAACTTCTTGTTTTGTTAAAGACCAAACAAATTAAAATCAAATCAAAAATTTCAAAATATATTGATAGATATTTTTTAGATGTGCAAGATAAAGCTTTAATCTTTAGTGATGAGTAAAGCGCCATTTCATTAGGAGAGCTCATGGCACAGCTCTGGTGCAGGTTGAGTAGACAGGAACTGTTGTCACAGTTGTGCGGGTGATTGAGAGGCTGAGTCGTGGTAGAGAAGCAAACTGGAATCTGGAGGTGAAAGCGTTTGGACCAGATCAGCCGAAGATCCAAAATGAATCAGCAGTCCAAAGGACACATGAAGACTGTACAAGTCTGTCTTTGTCCAGGACCTGGTTTAGCTACAAGGCTTGGCTAACTGCATGCAGCAAGGCTAATGCTTTATTCAGCTTTCCCTGCCTCCTTTTTCAAATGTCAGGATCTGACCCAGCATGGACAAGACAGGTTAGGAATGATTTAAAGCACTTTTCAAAAAAGGCAAAGAAGGATGAGCAATCTGGGATTCACATGGAAGATAATAAAATATATAGAACTTTTCCTAAGTGTTTGTTCATTTGCATAGTTTCTCTTAAATAAACAAATTCTCAGAAAATAAATAGTTTTTATATATTAAAAGATGTAAAGCTGCCCAATAGCATCTGCATTATTAAAATGGTACATTTTTATTTTGGTTAGTGACACAATATTGGACTATGCAAAACACAGGTTTGCCTTCACAAAGCCTCTGAAGGGCAACATTATTGTACAAAAAGTAAACCTGTTCATGAAATTATGTTTTGTTTTTATAAAGTGTTATTACAATGTTTTTCTGTTGTTGACATTCATATAAATATACTGGTGTGATAACTTATAATCTTCAAAGTAATTAAGAGTTAGAAGCAGTGCAGATTTGTTGCTCTTTATTTAGTTTGATAATAGTGAAAGTTATGGAGGGCCAAGCCAAATTCTTTGTGCATTTCAATCAAAGCTGTCGTGACTCCATCCTACAGCTGGGTTTATCTTCTCTATTCTTCTCCTCCTTTCTCTTTAAGTGCATTTTGTTATTTATCTACTTCTCCCCTTCTGGGTACCTGCAGATGTGGTATATCCCTGACAATCTACCCAACCCAATGAATCTTTATCTAACTTAACAGTAAGCAATAAATCTTCTCTGGCTTTTCCTTGACATTGTGCCAGATTGTTGAAGTCACTGATCCAATACTGTCTGCCCGCCTGCCTTCTTCACAGCTTTGTTATTTTTATCTTTATATTAATTAAGATGTACAGTATACAAAATAAAGCAGACCAAGGTGAGGATAACTTTTTTTCCCGACCTGTCTTGTCTGCCTAGGAGTGATGAGAAAAGGAGGGATTTAACAGAAAGGAGAAGGGCAAACAGACCTGCTGGGAAATGCCACTAAAAAATTCCTTCATGAAGACAGCATTGACGATAGATTGAGGGAAAGTTTACAAGTTTTCACATCAAATTATTTCATTACTTTTATACTGCTTTGCCAGAACGGTAGCTTTTCATTTTATGTTTATATTAGAGCTATATGTTACAATCTTGAATGCCTAACAGATATGTTTTATTTAGACAGTTAATTAAACATTAAATCCTAAACATGAGAAAAGAAACAACAGCTGTTGCTTCCTTTTCTGTTGGAAATCAGTTCAATATTACCAAAAATGTATGGACTTGCATTTAATATCTCCAATGTAAGAAAGATAGAAACACTCTTCCTCTTTCTATTTCCTTTTAAAGGTCCTGTGACCCAATAGGTTTATAAGAAATGGGTCAGTTGTTCTCGTACCCGTTGTCGACTGTTGTCATCCATTTGTATAATATCACTTAATTAAGCCTTTTCTTACATTCCACATCACAAAATGAGTAATAAAGGTATGTATGATGTTTGACGATATCTTAATACGTCAGTATCTGTGTCGATCAGTGCTCAAAGCTGCAATATCTGTGTTGTTTTGGAAATCCAGAAGTTAAAACCAGAAACATCTTTCATTCTGAAAATATTTTCCATTTCAACTCTGGTTAGCATGGTGGCTTAACTTCAAATGATATTCAATTCAATTCAATTTAATTAGACCTTATTAATCCCTGAAAGGAAATTGAGTTTCCGAAGGGGAAGAAACAAGGTAACTTAGCTTGATTTTAGCATTGTTAATGAATTGTTGATAGTACTAAAACAATCACAGGCAGTGTCAGTGGTACAAAAACCACAGTTTGAGAACCATGGATGGAAGTCTTTGTTTCCTGACAATTCGTCGGCTCTCACATCTTAACCCAGACAACTAAGCATATCAAGTAAAGACAAAGAACTGGGGCTTGGTGCTGTAGCAGGGGTTGAGGCAAGTGACCCAAGTATGGAGGCCTTAGTCTGCGAGGCAGGTGTCCCAGACCAATTTTTATTTGCTGCAATCCTTCCTCTATCCTCTCAATCCCATTTGTGCGTGCTAAACAAAAGCCACTAGAGTCTAAAAAAATGAATAAATATAATTATCTTCCTCAGACCTGAGTAATTAAAATAATTTCAATGCCAAATGCTTCTTGAAATACATTATACATATTGTCAGTTTGAAAATTATGAAAAGGTTTTAAACAAATTTGATTTCAACAACTGCATTAAGAGACAAAAGCAGGATTTGATAAAGAATATATGAAAGCTTAAAGGGGTCATAGAATACAAAACAGAGTTTACATTGTCATAGATAAATAACGATAGTTCAGTGGGTGAAATGGATCTCACAATTCTAAACTTCCACCATAAAACGGGCAAATTCCAATTAAGCACTGAATTGAGGTCAATTCAGGGATGTTGCTTCAATTGGTTCTGGCCTTTACTTTTGTCACACCACGAAATTGACATACATACACATACTGACTGTGAAGACATTTTAACTGTCTTCCCAAGGATCCGAAGACTCGCCAGGCATGAATTATTTTTGTGTATCAGAAGATCCCTGCAAAGTTTGATGCTCAGCTGTTCATTTGCTCTTTAGCAAGATTTGCTAAACTTCTTTCACTGAAATGAGGGGCTGTTCTGAATGTAAGGCCATCACAACCGCAAGCTGGAAGTATTATACTGTCGCTAAGGCTGCTGGGCCGTTAACTGGACATTCGAACCGAGCCAGCTGGGGACAGAGCGACCAAACCCGACCCAGTGACGGTATGCCTCCCCCCGCCTGCCCGGTAAGGCTATTCAAATACTGTAGGTGTAATAAATACCATCCATTCATCCATTTTACGTCACGCTTATCCCAAGTCTCGTGGGGTGCTTGTGCCTATCTCCACTTGTCAGCTGTGCGAGAGGTGGGGTACCCCTCGGACCGGTCGCCTGTCCATAGCATGGCAACACCGAGACACACATGACAAACAACCATTCACGCGCACATTCACACCTAAGGAGAACTTAGAGAAGCCAACTAACCTAGCGGTCATGTTTTTGGACTCTGGGAGGAAGCCGGAGTACCCAGAGAGAACATGCAAACTCCATGCAGAAAGACCCCAGGTCGGGAATCAAACCCGCCACTGAGCAGCAATAATAAAACCAATAGTATATATTTTTATTAAAAAAAAAGAAATAGAATATTTGATTTTATGATAGTCCCTTCTACTACAACCCGGTTATTTACCATACAAATCCTTTTAACCCTGCTTTTAGATTTTTATGGTACCAGCTTAAACAAAAATAGATAAACTGGAACATCTCAGTAGAAATATTCATTCAAGATGCTGCTGCTTAAACCAAAGTAGGAAATTGTCTGTATCTGGTGAGTTACTTCTTAGAATAGGATCTATTCTGTCTCATTGTTTTGATATTTCAAATTAAGCTGATAGAAAATTCTAAATGAAAATCAAAACTTTCGTTTTTGTTTTGTTTTTTTGTAATGTGTGTCTGTAGAAGTAACCAATATTTAAAAATTTTCCCTAAACCAATAAGGATGCATTATTTCCAAAGTAGTTAAAATTACACACTTAATATAAAACATTTAATATTTTAAATGAAATGGTGTTTTCTTGTGCTCAAACATACATTGGCCTGTCAAGGTGACTGAAAAAGCGAAGAAAGCAAGTATGACCGTAGAGAATTGCATGTTTTCTTTTGCTGCTGGTCCTAAACTGAGACAACAACTGAGCCAATATGAAGACAGGCACACAGTGACGCAGCATCTTTACAGCAGCATCCAAGGACATATGCAGGGGGGAGAAATAGATGAAACAGAGACATAGCTGAGAGGCAGAGGTTTCAAGGCTCACCTGGAAAGCTGAAATGATGTCCGTGTCTCAATGGAGAGGATAACATCCGACACCTGAGAAAATGAACAAGGATATAGGGGGGAAATAGCAGTGAGGGAAAAAGAGAGAGAGATTAGACTTGGCTGGAAGCACTATGGGTGTGCACTGGAAGGTGGCAATAGAGTAGACAAACAAAATTAGGAGATTTCATGAAAAAGAAGTATTTATAGAGATGTGGAAAATGGTGAGGAGGGGTTTAGGTGGTAGGATAAGACCAGAAGTAGTTTACTGTACTTTTGGATCAACTGAGGAGTGAAAAGAAGTCGTGTTCTGACTGGAAAAAAAGGTAGAAAGGCATATTTTCTCTTAAAACCAGCAACATGTTTTGTTTTTTTTTATGAAAGGATTAGACAAAATTTTCATTTATAAGACATACAGCAGAAGATGAGAGAAACACAGAACAGCTGCTTTTAGTCTAACATCCACCCACAGGTAGAATACAATGATAAATAGGATCATGGTTCATTGTGGAGGTAAGAGGAATATCATGATTAAAAATATTTTTCATTTCAATATGACTATTTTTCAGGCAAATTTTCCAGGCAAACTAACAATTTTACTATATAATACCTGGGCCACCAGCCTTTTGGGGTATAAATATTCATTACCCCAAAATTATTAATTTTCAGCATTTTGCAATTATCTATTAACTCTATATGATGTCTTCAGTTTATTTTTTTATTATGTTTTATGTTTACAGTTTAAACTGCAGTATCAGACTTGTGAAAAAAAAACATATAAGTGAGATCCATATTTATTTTTTAAAAGCCCTAAAAGCCTTGTACTGGTGAGTACTATGAGTAGCTAGCGAATGGTGAAACATTTATCATCTGAATGAATCAAAAGTGAGGGAAATGGGTTTACAAATGTAACCATATGAAACCATTACAATGTTTATAGTTAAAAGAACTCAGGCAGTCAACGAAGAGAGCAGAGACTTCACTGCAAAACACCAACACTTAAGCAAAGTCTACAGTATGTGAATTTCCTGTGGGCTACTATCACGGCAGGGTGGTTGATACATGGCTTGGTTGCTTTCATTACAAAAGCAAGGCCAAAATTAGCTCTATCTATTACAAGAGGTTGTAAGGCATTCTGGAGTTACAGCAGTAAAATGACTATAATTTCCTGACACACTCAAATCTAGACAGCAGCCAAAGAGTCTGAAGAAGAAATAATGGACTTTTCCCATCCCTATCAAAACTATAGTGGATTTTATTGATGCAAAATATGAAGATTTACTACTTTCTGGCTCAACAATTCCTTCAGTCACCTTCCTTAAATAACTATCTATGATTTCATTTGAGAATAAGAGCATTTCTATAAAGAAAACATAGAAGAGATAAATCGCTTTTTCTTAAGTGTCAATCACAAACTAATATATAACTGTTATGATAAAGAAAATAAATCAGAATCAACTTTAATAGCCATGTTTTCAGGTCCAGCTTCCCTGAAGGCTCATCCTGATCTTCCGCCGTTGTAACTCCAAGTGGGTCTGAGTCCACCAGTTAACCAGCTGGCCTACCTCCTATCCTATCTATGACAGTGTGTCATCTGGGTTTGCTGAGGTGCAGGTATTTATGTTCAGGAAGACGAGGATAGGAGTGACAACACACCCTTGGGGGGGCACCAATTTAGGTGTTTCCTGGACAGGAGAGGATGCTCCCTCGACTCACTCCCTGCTGCTGTGATCAGGTGAAGGTTTGATGGCATCTACTCTATATGGGAATATATGGTTTCCAATTTTGTTTTTTTATAACTGTGTACCACGCATCTATATTCTGTTTCTTTACTCTTAAATCCCTGAATAAAAGCAAGCATAGAAAAATTGAATCTCAGCATAAATTTACTGCTCTCTTCTGCCAAAAGGCTCAGGGGACACCTATAAATTACATCTTAATTCAAAGGTGCTTGTGAAACTAAAACTTCTTTTCAGAGATGCTTTCACAGCAGAATCCTCAGCAGGCTATTGGACAGTTCTAATGTGTCATCCATGTTGCTAGGCAACACTGAAGCAAAATAGATGTTGGTGTAACTGTAAAGAAACATTTTAAACTATACTGTATTACCATCATAATCATAAAAGAGATAAATGACAAGAAGGCAATGAAGTAATCCCTTAAGACTTCTCAAAAAACACTGAAGGCCATTAAGTTTCACACTTATATTGTGGACAACCTTCTGCCAATAGGAACAGGGAGAAAGGAAAAATAAAACACTGTCTTTAGGAGGGGGTATTTCAAAATTTTTTGTGGAATAATATCAAGAAAAACTCTTAAAAGCATTTAAAAATTATCTATAAAAAATAAGGCTACATTTGGTAGCCTTGGCTGCATTCATCTTTCCTTCAATTGCAGCTGTAAGGCCTTATATAGACAGGTGTGTGCCTTTCCTAATCAAGTCCAATCAGTTCAATTGAACACAGCTGGACTCCAATGAAGGAGCAGAACCATCTCAAGGAGGATCAGAAGAAATGACAGAATGTGAGTTGAATATGAGTGTCACATCAAAGGGTCTGAATATTTATGACCATTTAATATTTTAGGTGTCCTTTTTTAATAAATTTACAAAAAATTCTACATTTTTGTTTTTTTCCCCATCAAGATGGAGTGCTGAGTGTACATTAATGAGAAATAAAATGAACCTGTTTGAATAGCTGCAATGAAACAAAGAGTGAAAAATTTAAACAGATCAAGGACTCTGACAATTTACCAAAACACATTGGGCTTGGCACCTCCAGATCCTCCTGCTTCCTCAATGTGTTAAAAGCCCAGCCTGTACCTCAAAACTCAAAAAGGATGATGAAGCAATAAACAAGAAGCATTGTTGACTTCCATAAACCAAGAACCATACTAGACTCAGACTGACATTCAACAGGGATAATAAAGACTGCACATTGGATCTCATCAGCTACCCAGAAAAAGAACACTCTTTTTACCAGCTTGCCCTCAAAAAGACTTGGAGTCCAAACCCGACCAACAAGTTTAAATAAAACTTTTTCCTCAAGGCCCTAAAACACTAGGCACAAGTAATACACATATGCACACAAAAACACACCTCCAGGTCCACTGAATGGACAACTTCACCATTGCACAAATATTAATAAAAACTATAATTTAAATAACAAATCCTAACTATACATTTCACTGACACTGATGCTACCACAAAGGTGCTGCCAAACAGCATATTGTGTCATTTAAAATAACAAGAAAGGTTTTCTTCGTAATACTGAGAGGTAAGTTGTAGAAAGTATTGGAGGAATTCTGAAAATGTCAGGCTGGATATTAAAGCTGCTTTTAATCTCAAAAGATGTTTTGTCAGGCTGCTTTTATCTTAGCCTGGATGACCTTAGGTATTTGTGAAAGGCTATAATCAAATAGAGGTGAATGGCATAGTAGAGATTCTTATGATATAATTTCAAGTGGTTTATCGCTTTCTCCCTCAAACTTTGATTATTTTAAGTTTGCATTGATCTATGTAATGGCAAATGTGCAATAAAGGATTATTATTTAAAAAACTATTTATCTAAAAATTTGTGTTCTATTTAAGGGAAGGGATTTTCTACTTTCATTAGACCATGATACTGCAGTAAAACTTCATGTCAATTTAGGATTTTCCATTTTTAATACAACTTAACTAGGTAGATGTGCATATCTGCAGAACTATCTGAAATCTATAAACAATGCTATTTTTTTTTCTATTTCCTTTTTTATTTATGCCACGTTAGCTTTCTCTTGATATCCACTTTATGTTTTAAAAGGGAATTAGGGTTTTAATTAGACCCAGCTTTTTTCCTGCTCAATGTTTTCATTCCGGAATGTGTGTTTTTTTTTTTTTTTTTTTTTGCTCTACTGTCTATTTTCAATTTCTTGATATTCTTTAAAAATTCTGTTAGTCTTGTGTGTACCTGTATACACTCATCTGCTTATTTGCTTTGACACAGACCAATAATATTTCTATTCTATTTTATTGAAGTATGTAAACCTGCTTAGATGATTTCACTTTGTTTATATGTACTTTTTATAATCTCAATATGATAACAAAAAATTGTGAAATTCTCCTTTTTCACGAGTAACACACTGCAATGTATATTGTGTAAATGTGGGTGAAAAACAAACACCTCAGTATCTCATTAGAAACAATAATAGACCCCTCCTCCATGAAAAGAGGCTGCTTTAACACTATAGTAGAGCATTTTCTCTACCAGTTAATTTATTGTTTATTGTGTATAAGACGATGCAAGTTAAAAGTAATAAAGAATGATAGTTAAAGAAAGAAAATGTTATCCATATAAAACATGTCAAATTTAAAGCCCTGTGGGCCAAAGCTGGTCCCTCACTACAATTTATCAGGCCTCACCAGCTAAATAAAGTATATGTCATTAAAATTGAGGTATGTTCTTTTTTAAGTGTACAAAAGGGCTAAAACTACTTAATAAATCAGAGCAAAGTGAATATTACAGAGCATTGTGCTCTTGTAAATGAAATGATCAAATCAAATGTTTCAGTTTTACAGGAACCGGCCCTTTTATCGATTTGATTATGTAAAGGTGGAGCAGCGTGAAAATGAATTTCAAACCCCTGATCTAAACTTAGATTTTTTTCCCCCCTTTCCTTTGTTTGTTTCTTCTTACCCTGCTGTCTCCACTTTATTCAGCTTCTTTTTGCTACTCTTCTTTTGAAAATTCCTCTCAATACTCTGAGACTATATTTAGTGTCAAATAAAATGCCCAGCCTCTCTTTGTTAGGTACTGTACAGTTCTAGATGGCAACCCTCTTTTCAATGAAGCAAACGTGTTTTAAGATTCTCTGTGAGTTTTGTGGGCTGCTCTATAAACACCACCAGTCAATTACTGTATGTACAGAGAGAGCTAATACACACATTGCATAAATACTTGAAATATTTATCCTACCACTCACTGTTGTTTGTGCTTTGGTGAATTCAACTTTTGTTGCAACCAATGGGTGTCCAATAGGAAGGGATTTGTATTTTGATACAGAAAATACTGAAATGT